GTTTTGTCAAGAGAGTAGATTACCCCATTTTCATATTTATACATTTTACATTGTGTATTAAAGAATTATCTGATCTCTATACACTGTAACAAAATTACATGTGAAATTTAATTATTATAGTAGCTAATATTAGGACCATCTATTAAAGGCGTGTATTTACATACGTCAGTAAATTTATACCTTGCAGGTAAAATTATTACCTTATATAATAAGTAAACTGCTTGCTTCTAATCGTACAAATTTTACAATTTTTTATCACGTATAATAAACAAGTATTTACACAACAAAGAGTAAAAAAATTTTTTGTAAAAGTACATAAATTTATGTATTTCCGTTATTAATGATGTAATCGCTACACTCATCAAGTATGAATTTTACATACTTTTTACAGTGTATAAGTATTAAGAAAATTTATTAATTTTGTAAGAACATTCAGATTATAACTTTTCAGTTAAAAAAAACTTGTTTAGCTAAAATTTTGTTAATTCGTCAAAGATTGTGTAAGGGGAAAGCTGTCTAATTCAGCGAAAGACTTAGGAGACATTTAATTTTTCAATTATTTAAGACGCTCATTGAAACGCTGCGAGAGACTGTCGTCTAGATTTCTTAAGGAAACTAATATTTCAAGAGAAATTATAGACACCGCGGTGTGATTAATTGTTGCTACTTTATTCTGCATAATGCCTGATCATAAAATTTACATTCTACATAGAGACATCTCTCCCGAGTCGGCGCGCTGATCGTTTTGTATCTCGGGACCCGAGTCGGTGTTGCGTTACCTCGAAGAACATACCACTTGGCAAGCTAAAACCGCTTTACGACCGAACGAGATAGCACGCGGCTTCATGCACAAGTCGTAATAGTGTATTAAAGTCTCTGGAAGTTAGCGTCACGTCCGACGATGCGTATTTCTCGACCACGCGACACGGTTGAGTGTCACAAACAAAGCGCGAGCCTTGCACTCGTTTCGTTCATTCGTACGAGCATCGGCTAAGCATGACACCGCGAATAACACGTTTCAAACCGCGAGTTAATGTGCGAACTCTCTGGCTCTAAAATTGTCGCCTCGGTTGAGCATTACAGCCGACGTGCATCATAATTGGCACAACTTTTTTTATTTTTATTGTCTCGAGAAAATTTTTTGAAAAATATCGAAAGCTACGCGGAGAGAATTTCCTCTTAAAATTCATCCTGAAAATCATGTGATCGTGGGACAACGCGGCATTTTGAAGAACCTCATGAGAGTTTTTTTAACGTTCGCCATTCATTTTACTAGTAAAATGTATACTGAATATAATTACTAACAAAATGTATGACAAAATTTAAAAAAAACTGTCATAACGTTCACGTAGTCCCACGATTATAATATTTTCAGGATAAATTTTGGAGGAAAATTCTCTTCGTGTATAGAGTTTCTCGGAAAAGAAGCAGACTCTATCAAAGTTCTGAAAAATGGGTTTCTTGAATAAAAACTTCTTTGCAAAAACTGTGTATTCAATATAAAAGGATAATCAACGTTCACACGAATGATCGTTTAAAAGTTATAATTATTAATCTCCAATTAAAATTAAAGACTTTGGCGTAACTGCAGATCCAACTCATCTTTTTCTCCTTTTTTCCTTACAAACTTCAATCTTTTAATTAATTAATAAAATTTAATTTTGTTTACTTTGAGAGATTAATATTAAATCACAAATGTTGTAGTATTTAATAACGCCAGAGTTAAAAACCAACGGTATCCAATTTTAACGTCCTACACTGACCAATGTTTTTTATTTTAAAAAACAATACACGTTACAACGTTTTGGTCCCAGATTTGGAACCTTATCAAATAATCGGAAATCATGTATAACTTTGCACGAATATTTCTTAATAAATTGATTACAACGAAAACAAACCATGAAAATCATACATGTTACAAGATTGTTAAAGATCGCATATTAATTGTTTGGTGAATACCATTATGTCAGTAAGCTGTGTATAAGAGAGTGTATAAGAGAGTGACTGTTGCATTATACATTATGGTAATTTAATAAATGTTAAGAAAAATGAACGTATTAGTTAAAAAAAATTAATATTAAACGTTTAAAACAATAAAGCATTGAAGTATTTAACGTCTGAAGGAAGTACCCTTCGATTTGAGATTTATTCAAGAAAAGCTGCAATGACTGCGATCCACTTTTAACTACAGATTTATCAACGTGTTGCGTAAATGACGGGGAAAAATTCTTAAGTGCCTCCCGAGAAATGGACGTGCCATTTCCCGGGAAGACCAGTAATTCGTTCGAATTACGAGGTCGAATATCGCTCGCTAAACGAACGATAGAAATAACCGGGAAGTGCGCTCGCGGCGCGAATCGCTCGGGAAACGCCAAACGACCGCACTTCCGGTTCGTGCGGCAAAGTGTTTCCTGCGCCCTCCGCGCGAGGGGCGGCAACCCCTTCGTATCCCTGGGTGGTTGCAGGAGGGTAAAGGGCAACAATGCCGCGAGCAACCACTCGAGCGCCCGGCCTTTGTCTGAAAATCCCACTCGGGCTCTCCTTTCCGCATCACCCTCTGACCCTCCACCCATTCCTTTACGCCCCCGCGTGTCCCCACTCCTCCCTCTCAGCCCACCCGTTTACCTCCTTTAACGGCGGGACACGTGTGATTGCTGTTCCTTTGAATTTTAAGAAAAAAGCTCCCGCGGGTGCGTCTTTGTCCCGTATCGCTGTGGCATTTTCATAAAAAGAAGAAAGACTCGAGCGAGGGCAGGATTACCTGCTTTTTCTCTTGATTATCAAGCGATCGAATTTAAAAAAAGGGCCGATGAAGCGCGGCAATTCATGGCCGGTGTTGAAAGTTCAATTCTATTTCTCTTTCTCTCTCTCTTTCCCTCTCTCGATATCACTATTCGAATAATATTCACGTCGTGCTATTTAACCCTTTGAAAGCATGATGGTAACCCACGTTACCACCTCAACTTCTTTACTTTTTGGCCATTTAATTTTAATGAGTAAATTCTAAGGGAAATTATCAAATTTCAATTTTGTATCCGCCATTTAGCGCGCGCTATTTTTTATGTTCTATAAGAATATTCAACTGGAATTTAGATTCTATGGGTTCTAATAATATCTAAATAATGTTTCTTAGCATAGTTGAATTACAGTTGAATTATTCTTTTAAGTTTTGAATTCGCCACTTTGAGTTGTAAATATCTAATAGCGGATTCGTAATCGGCGACCCCAAAAACCCTTGCATACAAAGTTTCGCACAAAGTGGTTCAATAAAAAAAAATGTATGCTGCAAAGGGTTAACACGAATTTCTATTATACATTGTAGGTATATCGCTGTTAGCCGAGTCTACACGCAATGTTAGCGAAGTTGAAAGAGTCGATATTATACAAGCGCGATTCTATAATTCACCCTAAATAAACATTTTGCATTCCTGACAAATCTCGCATACTCGCTGGCAATTATCGGCAAGCCGCGAATTTCTAATAGCCGGCCCGAAGTTTCGCAAGGCGCGCTAATTTCTCGAACTGCCACTGGTCTTGAAAGTAACGGCGAATGCAACGGAGATCTCTCGCGGTCGTGCGCAATCGGCATTAAGAGTTACGAAACGGGTTACAGAATCGATTCGAGTGACGAAAGCCGCAGTATCACGAGTCGGCGAGCAAGCGAGAAGTTATTCGCAAGCATTTGTCAGTAAAATCGCCTGGGAGAGACACGGAAAAGTTTCATTCGCATCAGTCGCCTCTTGCCAAACCAATTAAGAAGTTACTTGTACGACTCGTTAAGAGATTGGACTATCAATTACTTGATATTTAATAATTTATGTTCTCTAAAATTGTTGGAATAAAAATACTGCCATGCAGTGAAACTTTATTGGAGTAAACATTCACTCTGTTGAAGTAAATATTCACTCCAGGGACTTTAGAGAGTATCGACAATTTGCATAAGGAGGAGAATCTAGCTAGTTACGTTACATTTCCCGAAACGCCAACGTCTTTGCTAGAGATTTATCAAATAGAATTTTATACCCAATTGAAACAAAAGTCGCGAAAATTTTTCCTCGCTGCCACATTAAGGGCCAGTTTCACAAACGTCGGTTTGTTGTAACACAAACTGTTAACCAGAGTTCAGTCAACTTCCTATCTTTTTCTATTTTGTTATCTAAGAAGAGACAGAGAATCAATTAAGTTAGCAGCTAACCGACGTTTGTGAAACTAGCCCTTAGTGTTGGAATAATCGAGTGCGTTCTGGCAATTAAAATACACTCCTTATCACCAACTTGCGAGACAAAAGTGTGAATATTTACGATCGAGAATAACATTCGACGTGTGACATGTGAATGCCGCGCCGCGTCCCTCTCGTTGCGAACCCCTCCGTTTCTTCGGGGATTAATGATTCGTTCGAAAGCCACGACGTGTTCCCGAACGGAGGAACATCTGATATCGCGCTTTTGTCGCGCGGCGCCCGTAAAAGCGGGCCACCCCGCCTTATGAATAAGGTAAAGCGTCGCGCGGCGTGTCATTCGACGCACAACGCTTCCCTACGACGGCGACGAGATCTTTCCGCCCTCGCTCGGTCTTCCCGTTCGCACGCGAGCTGGTACCATGTTGCGTTATGAGTATCAGCCTGCCCATAAAACGGCATTAGCGCTACCCCCATATGCCGGGCTGAGTTTATTCCAACGACAGGGAAAGGGCGACTCTCGCCGTCGAGGAGAGCTACTTTCACGATCGTCCTCCGAATGCTTAAAAAATATATATGTATCGTAAGGCCTACACCTTTTCACCGTTTGACTCAGTTTGCTTATTGCGTTTTGTGCTACGTCATTTAGGGCCAATTTCACAAACGTCGATTAACTGTTAGCCAGAGTTCAGTCAACTCCCTGTCTTTTTCTATCTTGTTATCCAAAGGCCTGTGTCCACGTTGCTTGGTCCAAGTTCCAGCATCGTGGACGCAGGTCTTTGGAAGAGACAGAGAATCAATTAACCTGAGGTTAGCAGTTAACGTTTGTAAAACTGGCCCTAAGGCCTGGTTTTTCCAACGTCGCTTAACTTTAATCTTAGTTTAACTCAGCCTTTGTCCCTTCCTAACTGTATTCCCCTTAGCAAGAGACAGAAGGCGAGTTCAACTAAGGTTAAAATTGAACGACGTTGGCAAACCCGAGTCTTATGTCCATTTCTACCGATGTAGATTAACTTTAATCTCGGTTTAATTTGCTTTTTACATTTTCCACTGTATTGTTTCTCTTTTGTACTAATCGTAAGTCTCTTGTGCTCGGATGATTAAGTTTTATTTTATTTCAGTTAAGGACTTTTTTTTATCATATCCTGAGTATTCAATACACGTATCTTTTTCACTGACCGAGCAGAATTAGCAGAACGGTTTAATTTGCTTTTTACCTTTTCCTAAATTTCGGAACTAGAAAGGGATTTTAATTATTCAATTAAACCAAGATTCAAATTTTATCTGCATTGGTAGAAATGGACATTAGCCGATCGAACTGTATGCCAGACTCGTTTAATTAAAATTTTGTATTAGCTGGTTCTACACTTCCTACTCCAGTGTTTCTCTCTTGTACTAATTGTAAGTCTCTTGTGCTCACGGTGATCAAGTCGAATTTTATTTTATTAAACGACTGTTTCTATCATATCCTGATTATTCAATACACGTATCTTTTTGACTGACCGAGCAGAATTAGCAGAAATAGTCGTGGCTTATTGTTACTTGTTAATGACGTCGGGCTTTTTCTCAAAATGTAGCGACACCTTTACTTTGTTGAAAATGCCGATATGAAAGACAGTTTTTCTGCGTTTATGTAGTAATCTAAACTCGATGGAATTACATCGAGTCCGATCTGGTTTGAAGTTGATCCGGTTTGAATTTCGAGTTCGAGCGGGCTGCTAGATAGACATTCGACAATTTTATCGTTTAATTCGATCCCGAGTGACGTTGACTAAAGCGTTTGCGAGCTACTAAAGCGGACACTCGGGACTGCGAACAGAAAACACGGAACCGACTGATGCGAAATGATCGGGGGTTTTTTTTTTTAATCAGCTGGTAAACGCGTGAGATCCTGTTCCATTTTAATGTTCCTGGAAAATACCGGGTCTTCTGGACCGAACGAGCGGGCCGATAAAACGAACGGAAGAATCCCGGATTGGTTCCGCGATCGTAAAAATTTCTCTCGTTCCAGCGCCGTAAAAATCCACGCGGTTCCTAACCGCCGCGATTAAATCGTCGAAGGATGCGGTTGAATTCGAGAAAAGAAAAACGGGATGGAGATGCTGGCCGCCTCGTACGATCTCCAAACGGCGGACACGCGTGCTATCGCGGCGAAAGACTTTATCGCGGAGAAGAAAAACCCCACGGACGTGATCGCGGTGAATAAAGGGCGTATGGGACGCCGTTCCCTTCCGTCTTCTTCTTGCCTAAGGCACCCCCTAAGCCTGGGCCACCCCTGCGGGGTAATAGCGGACCGGCAGGGTGGCCGCAGTAACGACGCGTCGTCAGTTAATCAAGCCATTTCGTTCCTGCGGGATTGGAATGAGGATTCGGCCGGAACGGCCATCGATTTTCCTTCGGCCGCAGTCGTACAACTTTCCCAACTACCAAGAGAACAAGGAGAAAGTCGGGGAATCCGCGTCTCTTCGTGCGCTTCGGGACAACTTGCGCCGCTGCCAGGTGAGGAAAACCGGGAGCGGCGATTGGGTCGAGAGGTTAGGTCGGCAATTTGCGGTCGACGCTCGAGCTCAGCTGGACTTCACACGCGATTTATAATTTTTCTTCAAATTCTACCGCCGTTGCGTTTCCGGGACAGGCTTGGAAGTTAAACGCGTACTTTTAATTGCCGGTTAAAGTAGGTACGTACCGAACTGAAGTGCGCTGCCGTTTAACGAGGTGGACACGAAGTAAATACAAGTGTAACATTGACGTCGCCCGGCGAATATCAATAAGGGCATACGGCATGGTAATTTCGTTGTGCCTTTACGGCGAGGCGAGTTTTAATCCACTTACAGAAGTTGTAGCCCGCCGCGAAACGAGATCAGAAACTTCAGCATTTCAATAGAACGACTCTCGCAACTTTCCTTATGGTTGGATCCTTTTAGAATTTGAGCCTCGATGTAAACGAGCTCAAATTCCCTGTTAATAAAATCGCGTGGAGAAATCCCAAGTTACAAAGGCACTTTCCACTTAATCCAAAAAAATAATAATAACAACAATTCCGTTAAAGCAAAGATAATATAACATTGAGCGAAGAACACAAGCTTGCGCTTTTGATTGAGATCTAATTAGTTGAGGATTTTCAGTGCTTCTTGTCGAGACAAGATCGTCTTCAAATTAAACGACAAAGCTTCCGCTTTTTCGCAGCCTGACCTATTTCCGACTAAGACCTTTTGCATTACGTTGAATTATCACGTTGCAAGTTTTTTTTATTAAATCATACTATCTATTAGTTGAAGAAACTGCGTAATATCTACGCGCTCATTAGCACGTACGCACGGAGAGAATTTTTTTTTTAAAAGGCCTCTTGACGAGACCTTTCGTTTGGTACCCACTTTGTGACCAAAATCGAGTGCGAAAAAAATGGGGCCGTTCTTACTCTCGCTCTTTGTCTCGAAAATCATATGATCGTGGGACAACGTGGCATTTAGTATAATTTTACCAGTAAAACATGACTCATAGAATTTTTCATAGAAGAATTCCATGAGTTTCTTAAAAGTTTATCACATGCTTTACTGGTAAAATTATACTAAATATAATTATTAGTGAAATGTACGGAAAAGTTTCCAAAAGCTCCTATAAAATTCTTGGAGATGCCGTGTTGTCCGACGATTATAATATTTTCAAGATAAATTTTGAAAGAAACTGCCCTCCGTGTATTAGCGAGAAAACCGCGACCGTGTCCGGTTCCAGCAGGCCCGCTTGGTCAGCCAAGATCTCCCGGCAGATCTCGTGTGCTCTCATATCGCACTGCTTGGACGCTCGGCCAGGACCTTCTCCGGTGGTCACCGCGATGGTACGCGTATTTTGGCCGAGCACCGAGCCCATTGTCATTGAGATTCCCGGGCTGTCTCCGAACAGGAGGCGGACGAGGAAAGGGCGCGCGCCGCGCGCAATTTCCGCCGTCGAGGTTTCCGACGATCGAGGGGGGCGAGCGCGCCCCAAGCCCTCGTAATCTCGCGACTGAAAGCCTCGTTTAATATTTATGATTTATTTCGGTTTAATTCGACGCGCAAACGAGAGGCGTATTTGTATTCAGCGACTGCCTGGCTGGCTGTCCCGCTCGTCTCACGACGTCTTAATCCCTCGAGATCTCGCAGCGCCGGAGCTTTGCAGAAGGAAGACACGGTTTTCCCTTAGTTCTAATCTGAATGCGCTGCGAATTCTCGTCGTTTTACAAGTTGCATCGCCCCCGATTTATGGCGCGTGTCATTGTGTAAGAAAACGGGAATGGGAGAGCGAAGGTTAAAATCTTATTAACATAAAGCGCGCGATTCGAAGTTCAGTATTTTTCAATCGGTTATCTTCAGGTTGTTTAAAAATTCTTTAAAAGTAAGACATTACGACAGTTTTGGAAATTACAACAGCTTTCGCGTTAACGAAGGAAGGCCATGCGTTTCCCATTTGTACCCCAATTCGTCGAAATTTCATGTTTTACAATTGACAAAAGCCACATCATCGCCACACAAATGTTGTCGAATTAAAAAAAATTAAGTTACTTCACGGAGAGAATTTTGGTATATTTTTAAGAATTGTATGCATGCAAAGAAGTAATTGGATGCGCAACGTCAATTTAAAATAAAAAGCAATTTATCACTCACTGATACGAGTCGCAACAGCAGAGTTGTACACCCTTAACCATACGTGTATATGTTAAACTGTAAAAATACAAATATGAATATGATTATTATAGACTATTTATGTAAAATCAAAATTATTGTATTAAATATAGGTACTTTATATTTTATATTTTTTTAAATAGATATTTATTAAAATAATTATATAGAACACTGAAAAAGTCTTTCTGTTAAATATAAACTCACAAACTTTTATACGTATGGTTTTGTCTCTAACACTTATTCGAATCCCCGTTCGAATCATTTATTAAATAAAATAGAAACAGAACAGATACTTTATTTCGCACAAATAACAGATAACATAAAAATGTAATAAGACACTTACCTCACCATTTCTCCGCCGTTGCCCGATGCCTCCTGGGCCTGCTCCTCCTCTCAGATTTCCTTGTTGCACTTACACAACACTCACTCGCAAAAATCATCGATCGCGCGAAATTTCGGGCACTCCCGTACGCGATGTGAAATACCGCGAAACGCACGAAATATTATTAACAAATATCGCGTGACTTTCTGTCATACAAATTAATGAAACGAACAACTTGCATTTTTAATTCGGAAGAATGGATAAATCACTTTTGAATTGGCGATATGAAACGCAACGCGAGCATCGGAAGCATAATCTGCGGTAAAGAAGTAGTTATTAGTCCGAAACAAAACGATATTTTACAATCTTTGTTATTCAATCTAGCCCTCGAAATAATTTAGGTGAATGAAATTTCCAGCGATGAATAGTTGTTATTAATTGCAACAGTTATTTGAGATAATTTTCAATTATAGTTACATAATGTAACGACGTGCGATAAGCAACTTTCTTTACTTCCTACTCGTTCGAGTTGCGAAGAACGACAGAACGAATTACAGCGCAAACGCCGAAGTCGTACAAAATTTTAACTTTTTCCGAAAATAAAACAGATTACACGAAATCGATAGATAATTAAAAGCGCGGCGCGTAAACGGGATGTAACCGCGTCAAAGTACCACGGTTTACCTTCATATTTTAGATGAGTTAGTCTCGTGAAATATCTACGTGTACGTTGATAAAGAGCCGTCGCCTCGACATGCAATTCGTTTCTTATTACAAGTTGGAGAAACTTAATAATTAATCGAGGAACGTTACTTGTTACTGATAAAGGTGTGCAAATCAAAAGTGTTTTATCCCTGCATTCATCGCGATCGAGTCTTGGAAACCGATAACGCAAAAGTAATAACACGCACGGAGCAACTCTCGCCACTGCCTGCCGGCTCGACGTTCGGCGGGCGAATGATCGCGCGGCGACCTTCAGTTACACGCTGGTACGCAAAAACATCGTACGTCACCGCGCCGAGAGAAAAACAACTACGAACGTTGAGAATTCGTTGTCTTTTTTTGTTCCGTGACTGTTACTACGTTTTGTGTATCATTCTGCGGACTTATTGGTACCGATTAAATGAACGATTAATTCTGTTCAATCGAGAAAATGTATCGGAACAAAAATCATTGTTACTTAAAATCTAACTACTAAGATTAGAGATTTTACCTCAACAGTTGGTGTATACAAATGTGTATTTCTAAATTCCAAATCTTTATTTTCTACGAATCTAAAGTAAAGCACACCGCTCTTCGAGAAAAATCGGCATCGCAGAAAAGAAGCCTCAACTGTTGGATATTAACGAGATTAGCGCTGATAACTTCTCTTTTTTAGAAAGGGATTATACCTGGTATACAATTTACTAGTAGAATGTACGGTGATATTTAAAAAAACTTTCATAAAGGTCTTCAAAATGCCCACGTTGCCCCACGATTACATGATTTTCAGAGTAAATTTAAAAGAAAATTCTCTCCGTGTTGAATTAAACGTTTTACATCACGGGCTGCCGCAAACATGAATAATTCAATTATATTTGCTGTGGATTTTAATTTTAAGCATTGAACCAAGTACTTATTCAGATTATTAAGACAACTATCTAATGTTTTTCATTCACTAACACTGATGATGTTTCAACGATTTTATTTCAATTTACTGATCCTGTTGATACAACATCATTTTTATCCGTGTGTAAGTTTGAAAAACAGTTATTTAATTTCCTTGCGAGAAACAATATCGAGCTTTGACACATGCAACGCTCATTGTATTCTCCCTTATTAAAACTTGATCTACAACGTATCCTCCTTGCATTTAAAAACATTATATTTTAAACAAGCAAATCAAAACACATAAAAAATATATCGATGATATTCGCTTACACAATATAATTCTGTGCAATTTATCAACTGGCACAAATTTTTTAAAGGTACTTATTGGCTGTAAAATAGAATGTTTCCAGGCTCAAAGAGCGCGTTGTAGATCAGGCTTACGTTTCTGAAGCGTCTTTGTCATTGACATGCCGATTATCTTTGCGGGTGGGCTGATAACGGCAGAGATACTTCGCTGATACACAGCGGCAAAAGTTTGGAGAACGCGACGACGAGTTTACAAGCGCGGCGAGATCGTCGGCGTCATTGTCCCGGCAACAATGCATGGTAGAAATGCCTTCACCCTCGTATCCGGCAGCCTCCGCGGGGCCTAGGGGAGAGAATTACCCTCTGCATTAACTCGCGTAATTGAGATTTATTAATCCGGCGGCCGGTTAGTGGTCGCGCACCAGCCGTATCTTGTTCTCCTCCGGACCGAGGTTGGACCGTAACTTTATTATTATTACGGCGCTCGCCCGTATTTTTTAGGGGGCAGGGAGGCGCTCGTCATCCCGAGTGAGCAAGCAACCGCTTCGCACTATTCTTATCTTAGCTGGTCCTTTACGCGCCCGCTTCGATAACAAGAATTGCGGTGCAGTCAGCCTTTTACTTCCGCGACTATGGTGGTTTATTGTCGAGGCATCATCCACCCAACAACTTCATTCATAGCTCGATTCCGTTCATCGTCATTTTCGATTAAGTCTAACGTCAAACTTGTAATCCTCTTTACTATTACAGTATGAGTAGAGGAAAATCCCCCTAAGCTTCTGATATGAGATAGCAGGTTTCCAACGTCGAAATTCAATCACAAATCTCTTTTCGCAACGATTACACGATCTAACAATGAATTTTCCACCAAACTGGCCTCCGTGGACAACAAATTTATCGCGGAACCAACAGACGATGCCTATTAATTCAGCAGAAACCCTTATCTCATATTAGAGCCGTGTCTCACAATAGCGGACTGTCCCCTAATAATAATCGTAAATGATATAGTTCTGTTTGTGCTGGACTAATGCGCGGAGTACATTCGTCCCACAACAATTAAAATTATTTTCGCGTTCAGCTCATATACATTTCTGCCGTTAATTTTCTCTTTTTTGAAAAACGTATAATTCATCTCTTACTTTCGAATGCACTTTCCAAGTTGGATTTCAACCGTTCACCAGTTTGCGATGCAATGCGTGCGCCAAGGGCGTACGTGTTTGTGGAGTAATGCGGTTACCGGAGGGTAGGCCACGGGTTGAGCCCGCAGGGAAGTTTCATATTGCTAGATTAAGCGTTCGACTTTCACCTTAGTTTCTCTCTCTCTCTCTCTTTCTGTCTCTTCCTTTATCTCTCTCCGGGTTTCCATCTTCTCCGTTTGCGTCTTAAGCCGAACGGCCCTAAGCTGTAGGCGCGACTTTCATTAAACGGCTCGATGACAGATCGCTTGTCCTCGTTCGTATTAAGGGCGGCGCCGAAACCGGATTTAGGCGGTGGTATTACGATTTGGAGACGCGACTGGTCCTTAATTCAAGACTTCCCGGCTACGTGACCGCGTTTCATTTGCACGTTATCGCCCGGCGATGGTAAACGATCGTGGCCAGCCTGAAGGGTGCGGAAGGATACATTGCGCTTCCTCGATCCTTAGCGCGGGGAAAGAATAGACTTTTACGAGGCGATTCGAACGGTACTATGCAGAAAAATACAAGCAACATGCGACAATAGATAGATGAAAGTCACCTATTATGAGCTAAGCTCTACAGCAGGATTTCTGCTAAATTAATAGACCTCATCTGTTGATTCCACCATGAATTTATTGCCCTTGAAATCTGTTTAGTGGAAAATTGATTGCTAAATCGTGCAACATGTTGCGAAAAAAGATTTGCGATTGAATTTGAACGTTGAAAACCTGCCGTCTCACTTTAGAATTCTACATTCAAAAATAATACCATAAGTGTCAGATCAACTCTTGTATACTTAAATTAACGCGTTCATTGTTTTGTATATACGCACTAATCTTCTTAGAAGCATTTAATAATCTTACATTCCAACAATTTAAATACTATAATTGTCGCTTCAAGAATGCATATAATTACTTTAATAATAAAATTATTTTAATCACTATACTCTTCGATTTTAAAATATATTATTTTTCATCCAACATTGTTTCCTTTCCATTCAAGAAAATTATTCTTAAATAATGAGCATATATTTTTCTTGATTGAGTTACTTAAAAATGCCTCATTCAAATAAGTGTTTCTTTCTTTAACGCAATATAAACTTATTTCAAGATTTTCACATTGAGACTAAATATATTTTCAAAAAAAGACTATTCTTTTTTCTGTGTATCTCATAATAGAGGACTTTCCTCTATAACGTAGGCTCAATTCTTTTTTATTTTCTTATGTAGAATCTTGAGGATTAAGGGTTTTGCGTCGACGACAGTTGGCCGTTTTGTCAGACACTAGCCGGATTCCAGTCTGCCCGCTCGCCGGGGAAACAGATGGCACATTGCACGACGAGATGAGAAATGTCCATCGATGTATAATACAATTGTTTCTTGCTTCTTGCAGAGGGATGGCGAGACTCGGTGTTGGGGGCCCCGCGTCGTTTATTGGTGACTCTCGGCAGTCTCTCCAGGGACAGCTCGCCATGTCCTGCCGCGGTAAGTCGCCGCTTTGTTCAACCCTTATCAACAAACTCCCGCGATCAAGCGACGATCTTTATTTGCCGTGCCGTGCGAGATACGCCGAGCGGGGATCCGCTGTGATCGATAAGATCTGGAAGAAGTTAGCTTTCTTGTCGTCTTGTTGCATACACGATACGACACGATACTGAATACTGTCATCTTTGGGGAGAAAAAATCGGAATCGCGATGCAAATAACATTTGAATGACCAAATTTAACGTAAATTCTATGCCTTAACGCGATTCATCATTTTCACATTTTTTTCCAGTAAAGCTCCAAGAAGAATGCTCTTCTTTAAAATTTTCTGGAAATTTAACAACGAGTGAGATCGGTATTTTTATTTTAATAAACCAGTTTCTCGAATATATTTTCTCGCCGGAAGTGTAAACCCGTCAACCTCCCAACCTTGTTTCTTTTAAGACAAAGCGCCATCCTTAGAGTGTAAGAAACGTGACGCTTGTATCCTCGCGCTTTCTCGCCTGCCGCCTTATTTTTTGATATTCGATGTGATAGGGTCGGAAAAAATTGCGCCGTATTCGCGAAATTTGCGACGCGTCTGTGTGCGAAATTGCGCGATCCTGTCGCCGCGAGTTTCAGCGGTGTCACAATGAAAACGGCGTCGTACGTGGAATGTATAAATTTTCGTTAGCATTTCAAAGCGATTACTGGCAGCAATTGTGTCGTTGAAATTTATGGCCGCGCGTATTATGCGTGCCTACCGCGCGGACGAGCGAGTAAATCACAGAGTTGCGGTAATGCAGTTGCATCTCGTTGTATTTCGACAGCGATATGTCGCGCTGGCTCTAATTTTTCAGCACCTGCACATATCGCAACAAAATTTTCCTGTAAAAGTACAGTAGATAATTCTGGGACTATCTATTAACCCTTTGAAGCATACATTTTTCTATTGGACTAATTTTTGTGAAACTTTGTGTATAAGAGTTTTTGGGGTCGTTGATTACGAATCCGTTATCAAATTTTCATAATTCGAAATGGCGATTTTTAATTGGCGGAATCCAAAACTTAAAAACAATAACATCATTCAACTGTAATTCAATTATGCTAAGAAAAATTAGTTAAATATTATTAGGACCCATGGAATCAAAATTTTCTCAAACATATACACAATACCGTGCCTTACTGCTATCGTTCTAATTCGCTATTATCAAATTTCGATATCAATATACTATCAGAAAATTCTATTCGTATAACATTACAAACAAAAAATATTGAAAGAACATGAAATTCTCAAATATTCTATATTACCAATGGACATTATTTTGGAATGAAGATATCAGTAAAACATATCTCGTATGCGGAGAGACTTTTCTCTTAAAATTTACCCTGAAAATCATGTAATCGTGGGACAACGTAGTGTTTTTAACATGACAATTTTAACTAATTAATATATCTATTTCCTTGAAGAAGACCACAACCGGATGGTGGAAACGTCGTGACAATTTAAATAAACCACCTGCCAGTTTAAGTCGTATAATATTATAATTCTTTCTTTCGTTAAGTAACTACTGGCGGCAACAATATTCCTTGTTGTCATAAAATTCTTCGGAATGTCACGTTGTCCCACGATTACATAATTTTCAAGATGGATGGAAGAAAATTCTCTCCGTGTAGATAAAATTATTACCTTGTGATTTTTGTGGCTTTCCATAATTTGTCGTCAGACATAAGCAATTATTTACACAACAAAAGTAAGGAAACCAATTTTCGTAGTAAAGTATGCAAATTCATGCATTCCCATTATTAACAGCTGTTATATTCATTATTTCACTTTTTGTACGACGTAGAACAACTTACTCGAGCCTATTGAATTTCGCTTAAATTACGGAAATGTACACTGCAAAACTTTCTTCTTCTAATAAAAAGCAATTATACCCGCGTAATTGCATTAAATTTATCGTCGGTTCGACGTGGCGACGAAACTCATGAGAGCGCGACAGCAATTTACAGGCGAGGTATAACAAATAAGCAAACAGATACTCGAACTCGAGACGAGGCGTGAGAATTATACGCTGCAATCTCCCGAGAAACGTCTCGCGACTTCGCCCGACGAGGCGTTCGAGATTCGCATTCCGCGCCAAGGAGCTCGATCACGTTTTCGCGACCACTTTGCCCGCGTCCCGAAGACCGCGTGCGTTCGAGCGGACTCCAGGCTGATCCTGGCGCAATAAATTTTCCCTCCCGGCCCCCTTTCCGAGAGCTCGCGCGTCTGTCGCGCTGGTAACGAGATCGTATCTGACGCGCCGCGCCGTGTCATTTACATACTCTTCGCCCCGAGGCGACGAGGGTTGCGCCTCGTGCTCGGCCTCGGTTTGATTTACATTTCCAGCGCGGCCGGAGGATCAGCCACGCGCCCGCGAGGCGCGGATGACGGAAAGAAGCGGTCGCGAAAGTCTCACCTGCCCGCCGCGGGCTGGGAATAGATGCAAATCCACTTGCGAGATATATCACTTTCCCTTGACGGCGCATCCAACGAGACGTCGCGTTTTTGGCACCTTCCACGCCCCGCTGTTTACTTATTCAAATTATTTATTGCTCGTGGAACTGTAAGCGCGTACAAAAATTACAATGCTGTAAGGAAAAGCTGGGATGGGAAGGAGACTGATCTCTGGACGAACGTTGTGTTAAGGGAATCCTAAAGCCGCTGGCGAACTCGATCAGTGTCGATAAAATAGGATACGGAATTAAAAACAATTATCGACATTTTTAATTCCAAGTTCTACTCGGTCCGAGAAATTTATAGCCAATCAATTGGCAACTTTCACGATAAAGCAGCAATTTTATTAGCTACCCATTGCTCAGACCGAGATTTTGGATCGAATTCTAGCGTCGCCAACGCCATGGCTGTACTGACAATCTGACAAATGTTTGGCAGCGACCTTTCTCAAAAAAGCCTGCAACTATAATATTTTTATACGCCATACTGCTCTTCTTCTTTTCTTCTAGACTTGGATTTCTGGACTTGCGTTTATTAGATAGAAGTAATCTTTTTTTCTAAGCTATTAATCTTAGTTCTAATTGCACGATATTGTTCTTACATGTTGCCCCTAGAGTATGCTGGTCTCATTTTGTATTTAGTTATTGTAGAATTTTTGTTTCAACCAAATATTGTCGTCAAGTGTACTAAAAATTAGTAAAATTAAAAAAGATTATCGTTTCTTTATATAAAGTCGACCAGCATAGTCTAGATTTTGCTGCGTAGTTTAATTCCGTAAAGGAGTTTTGCATTTTTATAAAGCCAATTAAAAGATTACTTCTAACATAGAATGTCGATAAAACAGACGGCTTTAGGATTCCCTTAAAATGTATATATTCGTGCAGCCGGGATGTTCGCCCTTCTTACATCTGTACTCTACTCGTGATCGATATCGACTGACTAGTGATACTCTCTCTCGTGGCACGGCGCGTTACGAAAAGAAGTAATGCTCGGCCGCTACAATGCTAGTATCGAGGATTGCCTCATTCGCGAATTTATTAACATCTTTTGTTTTTCTCGCTTTAATATTATTCCTCGTCTACTCTACAATATTTAAAAAAACACGTACAACGGTTCTCTTCTCCCTTTTGTAACGAATGGAGAAAATTAACGACGGCGGGGAGAACTTTATTGCGCTATTAAACACTCGCGCAGCGCCATTTTTAGAATACAGAGTCCGTTTATTAAAGCCATTATTAAATTTCTTTTTATCACAATATTATTCATCAGTTTTTCACGACTTCGGACTAAAAGTATTACGATCATTACGGGATAATTAAGAGAGAGAGAGAGCGGAGGAAGAGCCGGTTAATTTACCTGGGAAATACCGCGCGAACTTTGAGTTGTACCAGCGCTACGTCGGAGGGAAGAAATATAAGTGTTTCGGCTCACGAGTCTCGGGATAATGAATTCCATTAGGGCAAGAACTCGGGTGAGAGCGCGATCGCCGTTAGTACCGGGAGAAAAGTGCTGGACGCGTACGTGGTGGAGATGTCGGGAGAGAATAGTGAGTCTGCGGAAAGTTCGGCTTTCCACCCCTCGGAAGCTCTCCTCGTGCGTGGTTTCCCTTAAGGAAAACTTTACCCGGTAAAGTCCCACGCACGGGCGTACATGGAGGATGCAACGTATCTGTTATGTATTTAACGCGATTACTTTATGCGCAGGCTACGCCCACGTCTGAAATGTTCGTTATTTTTAACGTGCAGTTTTAGAAAAACATCCCGCGGACACGCTCATTATTATTTTTCCCTTCGCGTTTTTAGTAAATTCCCGCTCGACGTTGTTTTATTTTAATGAGAGAAACTGGCTTATATTTTCTGTACTTGTTTACTTGATCGCATTGTCAATAGATTACACGTGAAACCTATTTTTCGGTGCAGTACAAATTAATTGACGGTTCACGTCATAAACAAGGACGAAGCTGTGACACACATAGCAAGATTTTACTAGGAATATTTGCAAAATTAGAAAAATGGAAAGAATATACGAAAGAATCGTGTATATTTTACTTTCCCTTATATTTAGAATCGTATATTTTACCTTCCCCGTATATTTTAATAATATTTAAACAATTCGAACCCATTGATAAAATTGGTAAAGCCCATATATGTATAAGCACGAAGGAATAAAAGACTCCAAGTCTGATAATACAATTTTGACAAAATGCAAACAGTAAAATATAAATAAATAAATTGTCACGATTTAGGTGGACCTGGAAAGGCTTTAAATAATATAAAACTAGAACCAGCTGAATTATTTGGACGCTTTCGAATCAGGCTTTGCCTGATTAGGAATAAAGAAGAAAAATACTTCCGCTGAGGTTTTTACAATAAATTTAGAGTACAAATTATTTATACACTAACATCCTATTGAGGCTCTTTAGTCCTCCGAAAAATTATTTAGACACTGACCTGCGCCCTTTATTCCTTTTGCGTTGAAAAAAATTTAGATATTGACGCGTTCAGTTAAAATCTCCTGCGGGA